CAGACAGGTGACCAGACAGACAGACAGACATTTTACGTAGGGTACCGGTATTATTTCGGCTTTGCAGGAATTATTTGCAGTCAAGACAAAGGTAAGGGGTATGATTTTGTATTGTAATATATGGAGAATAGGGACACGGGTGTAGGATTAGAACTGGATATAGTGAAAGGAAAAAAGGGGTAGGAGTGGGGTGGAAGAGGAGTTATTTTTTAAATTGCTGTATGGGATAGGCTTGGCCTAGGCATGTAGGCTACAGGCTACCTGTAATTTCAAGTTGTCACCCACAGCGCTCTTGGTCAACTCAGATCAACCATAGATTGATTGTATATGCATTATTAGGTTTAAAAAGGAGATACACCTAACTCCGGCGTCATATATCTAATTTATGTGTAGGTCTACGTTTAAATTTCCAAACCTGTTGACCTGGTACATGTATTGAACCAGAGCTTTAGGCCTAGATATATCTTGATCTAGATCTACTAACTAAACAATTAATGTACTCAATATCAAATATCGTGACAACTGGGGAGGGGGGGGGGGCAACTTGTAGCAAAAAAGTTTTGATAACCAGATTTAAAACAAGACAACAAGATTTAAAAAAAAAAAATCCCCGAAACCTAAATCAAACACCATTGCAATAATAATTTAAAAAGAACAACAAAAGAAATTAGACATCCATCTTCCAGACCACTTTTTCGCGCTACCCGCACACATGGTTTGAGAGGAATGAGAGCTCTTCAATTCCCAGCAGCCATTACTTGGCTTTTGATACGGATATGATTCTTTAAATGATCTCTCAGAAAAAATACCAAAAAAATGAATAAAGGAAACAAGACATTAATATTTTTTATAACTTTTACTGTAAATGTAATTGATAAAGTAATGTGCCGTTAGAACAATCCTAAAGGTGTTGAGTAAGTGTGAACTAGTTGCTACTTTTTCCGGACGAAAAGCCAAATCTTCTTCACAACACCGATGACAATTGGAGGTTTCAGTGTGCTTGACGGATATTTTTCATATTTTATATTATATTGCTTTAATAAAAATTTCATGTTGCAAAAATACTTTTTTTGTAATGAATTGCTATGATTTCAAAATGGTAATTTGCTCTATTGTAATATAGTTTTTAAATAGTTTAACTAAATGTAAAATGAAGAAATGTATCATCCCCAACATTGATACCTTGTGTTTGTTGAGAACCTGGACCTGAAGGACTTGACCATTAACTGGCGATAATTGCAGGCCAATAAAACTTTGCAATGACTAAATAGGGCTTTATATACGGTTTTCATTGACAGTGTGTCACCAAATGTGCTTTCCAGCGGACTGGCAATATGAGCTAACCTTGTCTAGGTGCTTTTCCCAGTGCTATACAGTCGAGAAGCGGACGGCAGTGCCAGTTAGCAGTTGAGTCAGTAGTGATCAACAAACACTTTTTGTACTGGAACTGAGTCACCAGTGAGAAGATCTGCTGTTTTTGTGATTTACCAGATATTGCTACCGGCTACCGACAAAGAAGGGTGGAGTTAACAATTGAATCAAAAGAGCACAAACGTGTGGATGTTGGTATCAACAAGTGTTTTTTTATTCAAGATCTTTGGCATTAGATTCTAGGGTTATTTTTGAAGTAGGGTCGCTCTCTAAACTCTCTAAGACCTTCTAAGAAGACTTTGACTGTAAGAGTTCAATATGGCTGATAGTGCTAGTGAACTTGAGAGTGACACCAGTTCAATTGATGGAGGACCTACATTTTCTATGAAATCACCGTCTCCAGCGCAAGCAGAGCAGCTAAGCAAAAGAATTGAATCACTCCAGCAAGAAAACAGAGTTCTGAGGATAGAACTGGACACGTACAAACTGAAATGCAAATCTCTTCAGGAGGAAAACAGAGAACTGAGACGTGCCAGTGTTTCCATTGTAAGTATATTTGTGGCAGGCGCTATTTGCAACGCCGCGTTCTGAATAGCTCTCAATCTCATGCTATTTTTAAATGAAGTGACTATTCGGACTCGAGTCCGAATATGAAAAAATGTTATTAGGACTCGAGTCCGAATAACGACGACCATTTTTAAACGCTGCGTTCTGAATAGTGCCCATGCTATTTGAAACGTCAGTCTAGATCTAGAATCTAGTAGCCATCGTTTCTACATATAGATCTTATAACATTGTAGTTTTGCCTGAATTGTGGAAGCTTTAGGTTCTCTCTGTTTCTTGATAAACCTCCTAGATCTAGGATGTGTGACTCCTTTTTTATTATGTTGTTTACAAGTCTTTTCTGATCAATAGGGCCTATTGGGTAGAAGATCTATATTTCTAGATCTAGATCTAGATCTACAATTGTTTCTGACACTGACATTGCTTGCACAAAAGTAGTCTTGTTCGTCTCTCATAATCATAATCATTTTGAGTTTGAGCAAGTAAGTCAAAAGACACTTGGATAGAACAATAACATGACGGTGCAATGCGGTCCAAGCACTATTTCCTGTCTGCAGTGTCGTCATACAATACCTAAAAATAATTAGATCTATTAGATCTATTTCTGCATGCACTTTACATTTTGCCATCACTCATGTCGCCTGATCTAGATTTCTAGGCCTAGGCTTCGGCGTTTAAATTAACAGGGGGTAGCGTTTAGTTTTCTACATTCTCTAACGGCCGTAAAACCCTCTACTATTAAAAAAAAAATGTTAGGCCTAGAGAACGTATATATACCAGCTGTCTACGTTCTCTAATGTTCAGTGCTCAAGCATGGCATCGAATCCAGGTCCCGTAAGGTTTTTTTTGCTTCTCCTGAGCCAAAAATTATTTTTTAAGAGTAATTAGACTCACAGACCAAGGAAAGCCACTTTATTGAACTTAAACCAGGCCTAATTGGTAAAAGGAAAAGTACAGATCTAGACATTCTAGATCTAGATCCTAGACCTACTTTGTAGGTAAAAGCTCCTCTTGCGGACAAAACCAGAATGTGCAAGCTTCATCACTAGACGTCTAGATCTATATCAAAATCTAGATCTACATTAAAAAACTACAAAGCAACAAGTTATTACAGAAAAAAAAGTGTTGGTCAGTCGGGAAGAGGAGAAGACAAAAAAACAAAAAAACTTCCATGACCGGGATTCGTATCCATGCTCATAAAATAATTAATGGTTCAAACACAGACGCCCTCTCGATTCGGGTATCAGAACTTCCAACAACGAAGCGTATAAATATATTAAGCCATATATTTAACACACAGCGTTTTATTTAGTACTGGCGCTAATTGCAATGCGGCATTTTATTTCGGAGTGGTTATCCGTAATTGTGCCAACTTTTCTGTCTAGTTATCCGTACATTGTTGTACTGTACAATTGTGCGAACAACTGTGTCTAGTTATCCGTACAACGTTGTACGCACAATTGTACGAAGTGCTGCAGGTTTCCGTACAATAGTAGGCCTATATGCCCACAGGCCTAGCCTACATGTTCTGTCTTAGTAGATCTAAAAATCTAGACCTAGAGATTCTAGATCAGTGTTTCCAATATTCGATAAATTTTTACTTTCACTCCCGCACACAGATGCACTGCTTCAGGGGTCAAACTGCAGTACTGTTTGCTGCAGATCACAAATAAAGCCACTAAAACTGTCGCAAATCAATTATTTGTAAGAAAACTTCAAATCTAACTGTATCAAATTATGGGTTAAAACAGGGGGGCATGCCCCCCTGTAACGCCCCAGATTTTCTTATACCTCAGGGGGGGCTTGAGACCCCCTGATTGGTCCAAAGCATGTTTATCTCGATTAAGAACAATCAAATATTTCAAAAACTGTTAATTTGCGACAGAAATGAAGTTGATATTCGTGTTCAGCACATCAATATTTAGTAGAATATGGACAACTGGTAGTTAAGTGTGAGACGGGAGGGAAAGTGAAAAAAATACCCAATATTCCACCAGCTGAAATTAAAATTTTTTTCGTCAGACCTCATCTGCCGATCTGATGCCAGCCGCCTCATTAATGGTGTTCCCCTCATGTCTAGATCTAGAAATGTGTGTTGCGTTGAAACCGTGCTGTAAAAATATACGAAGTGACTATTTCTCCGAACGTTCGGAGAAATAGTGCCGATCTTTATTTCTCCGAACAGTTTCCGGCTTCCGGTCTCGTGATTTTTTGCCTATTTATTGCGAGAGTTCGCCACCAACTTTCATTCTGCCTCTGGTCTGGGAAGGAACACCGCATGGCAAGCCTGCCTACATACAACTTTCAGTAACACCCACCACACACCCACCACCATCATGCACATGTACACACACAAACTTATACACACACTAACTAAACATGATCAGTGGGCCACTTTTGAATGTATGACGAGCTGAGTTGTGGATGGAGAGACAGTGTGAGTGACAGAGCGGGTGAAAGGTAGAATTTACGAGTGTATCCACAGGCGACGACTCCGACCCCCCTGGCCTGGTCCACAGCTCACGAACGAAAGGAATGTGGTTAAGGCAGTGTTTTGCATATATTATTGTCCATGGTTCGCAGGGTGCAAGCGAATGAGTGAGATTTTCTTTGTGTGTGCGTGCCTGGAGGGAGGGGATGGGGTGTGAAAGTCATGAGGACGGGGATGAGCCGCGGGAGAGAACACGGGAATTGAATGAATGAGTGAAACTGAAAGAGAGGAACAACTCATGAGCACTGGAGTGAATGGATCCTGTGTTTCTATTTTTGTATACTTTGAACTGTTACTGAATAAAGGCTGAAATAAAGCCCGAAAAACATACACACCCCTCACTCTCCACTTACACACTTTAAACTACCACTACCATACACAGACACTCACACACGCGCATGCATAGACACACACACGCGCACACACACACACACACACACACACACACACGCACACACACACACAGGAGCAAATTTTTGGGTCTATATCTATTTCAATTTTCAAGAGCTAGTCTAGAGATTTTTAGATGAGTGTAAAAACGTGAAAAAGAAAGGTTTCACAACAGAATCAAATCGAAATTAGTCGAACAGTCCATAAACAACCACAAGAATTAACAAATAAGGGTGTGTGTCAACCTGTCCGAAGAAAATTGCCTGTTTTAATCCTAAAAGTGCGTAAATTTTAAAAAAAGTACAGGATATTACATGTAAATTATGGAATCACACACATTAAGGGGCCTGCCAGTGTCAGTACATGTAATCGGTTTCGGTGGAACGTACGCAATAAAACATAAAACATTTAAATCTATATATATATAAATATATATATATATTTAGAATCTAATGAAGGTAGGAACATCAAATTAAATGACGTTACACTATGCAACATCCCCCCCCCCCCCTTTACCCAACAAAAAAAAAATTGATAGAAAAACAACACATCAGAACAATAACAAGAAAAAAAATTACACACTAACAAAATAAAACACCACAAAGAGTCAAAAAGGGAAAAATAGTAACTGTAACGTATTCAACAAATCAATGTGGTTTTCCTGTTACTTTTAGGCCTACCAATTTAGGCCTGGTTAAAGTTATTACATTGATGCTCAAGCCAGGGGAGAACCAACTGGATGACTAGATCCAGTTATTTTTACCAACAACCTCCAAAATTCGAATAATTTTACGAATAACTGTCTGGTTATTGGTACAATTGTACTAATAACTAGTTAGAGTTGTACGCACTATTGTACCAATAACCGCAGCCTTTTATTTAGCACTGGAGCTAATCGCAACGCCGCGGTGCAAATAGACACTTTCCTATATTATATATAAACTACAACTACAGAGATAGTGCACTGATGCTATGCTCTTGGCTTAAAAGGTCCTAGAAGGTATCTTATTTTAAACGAGGTCAGTGTAATGTTTTCAGGGGGTTAGCAAGTAATAATTCTATGTCTACTGATAACAGACATTCCTCTCCGAAGTGACTATTCGGACTTGAGTCCCATTAGACAAAATATATATTCTGACTCTGAATTGAGCCCAGCATGATGTCCGTTCCGACTTCCAAACCTTGTTCTGAAATATTTCCAGTATTATGAAAAAAATTTCAATTATAATGATAAAATAACAACAATCGAGACGTGAGCTTTAATATCCAGCTAATATATTATTCTAAAAGACTTTTTGACACAATTGCACAGTCCTAGTAGGTAATTCTAGTTCAAATTCTAGTTTTATGTAAAATCCTCCGACGACAGTTATACTATGTAACCTCCTTGCACTTACGTAACTCACTAAGAAGCAGAGTCCGGATAAATTTTAAAACATTTTCCGACCTGAGTCCAAATAGATAAAACCCATATATTAAGACTCGAGTCCGAATAGATAAAAGATCTATTCGAACTCGAGTCTGAATAGAGGTGGCCTTTCCTCTCAGGACCCTTCGATCATCTCTACACTGTTCATTCTAAGATTCCATCATCTGAGTATTGATGTGGAAACTGTATTACTGATACAGGAGAGATCTTGAACTATAAAGTTTTCGTAGTTTGAAGTTTAGGGTTGTGTTTTCTTTCTTTTTAAGGGGTTGGGGGGGAATTCTGTAACGAGAGACCACTGATAGTATGAAATAGAGGGTTAGGGCTAGGGCATTAGAATTTGGGTTAGGTAGGTCTCTTCTTTTTTGTGTTTGTTGGGGTGGTCACTCATTATAAATGGAAGTCCTTCCAGGTTTTAAGAATATTTTCTTCCCGTAGGGCCTAGTTGATCTGTACATGGAATGGATCTTTTTCTTGAACTGTCATTGTTGTGCTTGAAGACCTTGTTTTGCTTTTTAAAAAAAAATCAGATTGGGGGGGGGGGGGGGGGGGGGGGTCTTGTGTTAAGTTGAAGAGGTAAATGGTGTTCGCCTCTCATTCAGTAGGTCCCAGGTTCAAAATTTTCTCTTATCACTTTTTTTCCTGCTCTAACAATGTTCTGTTGTGTGCTTTTGCCTCCTCTCAATGATCTTATGCAGTTGCGAGGGCTGTAAAACACTTTTAAAAAAAACAACCCAGATGCGTCAGGTAGAGTTTTTGTTAAGAGGGTTAGAGCTAGAGGCTATGTTTTGCTTCGAAGAGAATACTTTACTTGAGGATACCTGTCTTCTGCATTGTCTGTTATATTTTTATGTGTCATAGTACAATCGTATGATGAGATCTTTATAAACTGCTTTTGTTATTTGTTTATATTTTGAGAATAATTTGCACAATGTTTGTCCCTTTTTCAGCAAGCAAAGGCGGAGCAGGAAGAAGAATTCATAAGCAACACATTGCTGAAGAAAATTCAGTCTCTGAAGAAAGAGAAAGAAATGCTGGCTACGAACTATGAGCAAGAGGAAGAGTACCTTACCAATGATCTCTCTCGCAAACTGTATCAGGTATTTTGTAAAAGCTTATCATGCATGGTTGATTCTCCTGTGTATTCATGTTTCTTAAGTGTGAGAGCTTTTTGAAAATTGTGCGACTATGAATTAACAGAGAGGATAGCAATTTGCAGAGTGAATAATTGTGTTGAAAATGTTGACTTGTCTGTAATTGTGTACCAGTAACTCCTCACTTGTGGTTTCAAGTGATTGTGAATAGTTTGGCCAGTTTTGTTTCTCCTTGGAAATCTAATCTAATGGACCATATTATTAAGGTTAACGTTTCAGATTTCAAGCGAAGTTAAGTGATGCAATATCATTCAGTATGTTTTGTTTTTCTTCATATGTATGGAGTTGTATTTCACTGGCCACCTGCTCAGATTATTAAGGCCAAAATTAAAATTAAAAAAAAAAGTTGCAGTTTCTTATAATGTGGTATTTGCAGCTTGATGACGATTTTTTTTTCTTGACATGGTTTCAAGTAAGTTGTTTGAAGGCACACATAATAATAATGATTGTTCTTTATCATCAAGTTTTACCTATGGTTCGATTCACTCTCAAGTTTTGAAAGTTGTATTTCAAAACTATGGTTTTCTATGACAGTACTGAGGAGAAGCAAATGATTTGAGTAAACTAGATCTTTTTTTGAAATATAATTTTCTTCTTAATAGTTGCGACAAGAAAAGATTGAGCTGGAGGAAACTCTTGAGAAAGAACAAGAGTGTCAAATCAACAAACTGATGAGAAAAATTGAGAAGTTGGAGGCGGACACGTTCACTAAACAACAAACATTGGAGCAGGTAAGTGATTCCCAGATTCACAGGTCATATGCTGGGAAGGGTTTTTTTTCCCAGATATTTACCTTTTTAGTTCTTTTGGAAAAAAAATGAAGGAATATATGAATTACATGTACTCAAGCTGTTTTAGGACGGGTGTACGATTGCGTCTTGGGTGTAGTCTGCTAATACATAGAACAACAGTTGAACCTGTGTAAGACGGCCACCCATTGTCAAGGAGAAAATGGTCGTATTAGACAGGTGGTTGTCTTAGGCAGGACTGATCAAGATGAAGAAAACAAACCATTCTCTTCTGAGCTCCCAATCGAAGGTAGCTTAGACCTACATGTTTGCCGACAATCGTCTGAAATCCGACAATCGCGACCCGACCCGCGAGCCAGCCAATGCTATCGCTAGGCCCACCTGTATCAGTCAATGTGCGTAATGGGAGGCCTGGCCGACTGCCAACGCCCCCCTTTTTCTCCCGTCGGCTTTGTCGGCACTTTCGTTTTCGTGCCGACCGC